AGGAGGAGGAGGAGGAGGAGGAGGAGGAAAGGGGGGGGGGGTCAGAGGGGCTCAGGGAGAAGAAGCACGAGAGGAGGAATGAGTGAGGGATAATGGAGGGATGAAGCGAGGGATAGAGAAGAGGCAGTGGGGAGGAGGAGGAGCAGGAGGAGGAGGAGGGGGAGGGAGAGGCGCCGGGCAGCGAAGGCTGGTCAATGTGCAGAGCAGTTCTTTCGACCGCCAATCGATGCTCACCGAGTCGGACTCGGCGAAGGGCAGCGACCCGAGCCTGCACGGTCAGGGCGTCGTCACGGCCAGCGTGTCGGCGCTGCCCGACTTTGTGACTATGCACAGCAGCGGCGCCGAGCTTCCCCCTGGTGGCGGCCTGTCGAATCGGCTGCGTCGGACGACGTCGACGCCGCCAGAGAGCGCTGCGTCTGCGGCGAGCATCGCCAACGCGCGGCGCAACCGTACGAAGCGTGTCAACTTCGGCTGGAAGAATTCGGTCGAGAGTGAACAGTCCGAGCCCGAGTCGGAGCCGCAGGCCGGCTACGCTGGCGCCCCCAGCGGCGGCGGTACGAAGCAGCGGCGCTGCGGGCCGAACCACAGCAGCGAGGGTGAGGGAGCCACCGGCGCAGCGCCTCAGTCCTGACACGCGGTGGCGCACGCGTCGCCCTCCAGCTTCGTCGCCAACGTCAACAACTTTCTCGGACGGAAGCCGACGGACCTATGAGCGCCCCCTGGAGGGCGTCTCAGTCGGACGTCTCTAGTCGTCGAGCATTGCGACGCTGGTAAGAAAGTGACGTCGTGCGCACCACTGTCGCCGCTAGGTGGTCCTGCTGCTACACAGACGCGCGCTTGTCGCCATCAGACGAATTGCGCCTGCGCAGTGTGGACCGCGCTCGCGTCACGCGTGTCCCAGTCCGCGAGTTAGCGGAATTTATTGTGACGTAGTTATCGAGGGAACGTGGGAGTGACGCGCGGCGATGCGGAGAGCTAGCGAGCGATTTATTTTGTAAGAGGTTTTACTTTTTAATCTTTTTTATCGTGGGAGGACAGAGCAGGCGAAGGCCCGACATCGTTTCGCAGGTGAATGAGTGAACAGAAGGACAGCCAGGCACACATATACGAACATGCGCGCACGCGTACGCACGCATGCACGCACGCACGCACGCACACACACACACACACACACACACACACACACACACACACACACACACACACACA